GGAAATGTGTGGGGCAGAGGGGGTGGGAAATGTGTGGGGCAGATGGGGAAATGTGTGGGGCAGAGGGTGGGAAATGTGTGGGGCAGAGGGGGTGGGAAATGTGTGTGGCAGAGAGGGGGATTGTGTGGGGCAGAGAGTGGGAAATGTGTGGGGCAGAGGAGGGGTGGGAAATGTGTGGGGCAGAGGAGGGGTGGGAAATGTGTGGGGCAGAGGGGGTGTGGGAAATGTGTGGGGCAGAGGAGGGGTGGGAAATGCGTGGGGCAGAGGGGGTGTGGGAAATGTGTGGGGCAGAGGAGGAGGGGGGAATGTGTGGGGCAGAGGGGAAATGTGTGGGTCAGAGGGGAAATGTGTGGGGCAGAGGGGGAGGGGGAAATGTGTGGGGCAGAGGGGGAAATGTGTGGGGCAGAGGGGGAAGGGGGAAATGTGTGGGGCAGAGGAGGGGTGGGAAATGTGTGGGGCAGAGGAGGGGTGGGAAATGTGTGGGGCAGAGGGTGGGAAATGTGTGGGTCAGAGGGGGAATGTGTGGGGCAGAGGAGGGGTGGGAAATGTGTGGGGCAGAGGGTGGGAAATGTGTGGGTCAGAGGGGAATGTGTGGGGCAGAGGAGGGGTGGGAAATGTGTGGGGCAGAGGGTGGGAAATGTGTGGGTCAGAGGGGAATGTGTGGGGCAGAGGAGGGGTGGGAAATGTGTGGGTCAGAGGGGAATGTGTGGGGCAGAGGGGGGGTGGGAAATGTGTGGGGCAGAGGGGAATGTGTGGGGCAGAGGGGGAGGGGGGAAATGTGTGGGGCAGGGGGGAAGGGGAAATGTGTGGGGCAGAGGGGGTGGGAAATGTGTGGGGCAGGGGGGAGGGGGGAAATGTGTGGGGCAGAGGGGAAATGTGTGGGTCAGAGGGAAATGTGTGGGTCAGAGGGGGAAATGTGTGGGGCAGGGGGGGAAAGGGGAAATGTGTGGGGCAGAGGAGGAGGGGGGAATGTGTGGGGCAGAGAGTGGGAAATGTGTGGGGCAGAGGGGGAAATGTGTGTGGCAGAGGGGGAATGTGTGGGGCAGAGGGGGAATGTGTGGGGCAGAGGGGAAATGTGTGGGTCAGAGGGGAATGTGTGGGTCAGAGGGGAATGTGTGGGGCAGAGGGGGAATGTGTGGGGCAGAGGGGGAATGTGTGGGGCAGAGGGGGAATGTGTGGGTCAGAGGGGAATGTGTGGGGCAGAGGGGGAATGTGTGTGGCAGAGGGGGAATGTGTGGGGCAGAGGGGGAATGTGTGGGGCAGAGGGGGAATGTGTGGGGCAGAGGGGGAATGTGTGGGGCAGAGGGGGAATGTGTGGGGCAGAGGGGGAATGTGTGGGGCAGAGGGGGGGTTGGTACCGATGCGTCGCTCCTCGAGGAGGGATTTGATCTCAGCGATCTTGTCCAGGGCTTTGCGGAGGATGCTGGGGGGTGGGGGGGGTGTGGGGCGGATGTGGGGGGATGGGGGGGGGATGGGGGGGGATGGGGGGGGGATGGGGGGGAAAAAAGGGGATTTGGGGGGGAAAAACAAATTTAGGTGAAAAAAGAGATTTTGGGTGGGGAAAATTGGGATTTTTAGGGGAAAATGAGATTTGGGTGGAAAAAAGGGGATTTTGGGTAAAAAAGGGATTTGGGGTGGGAAAACAGGGATTTTGGGTAAAAAAAGGAATTTTGGGTGGAAAACCAGGGATTTTGGGTAAAAAAGGGGATTTTGGGTGGGAAAACAGGGATTTTGGGTAAAAAAGGGGGATTTTGGGTGGGAAAAACGGGGATTTATGTAAAAAAAGGGATTTGGGGTGAAAAAAGGGGATTTTGGGTGGAAAAAGGGGGATTTTGGGTAAAAAAAGGGATTTTGGGTGGAAAAACAGGGATTTTGGGTAAAAAGGGGGATTTTGGGTGGGAAAACGGGGATTTATGTAAAAAAAGGGATTTGGGGTGAAAAAAGGGGATTTTGGGTGGAAAAAGGGGGATTTTTGGGGGAAAAAAGGGGGATTTTCGATGGAAAAGGATAATTTTGGGTGAAAAAAGGGGGATTTTGGGTAGAAAAAGGGGGATTTTGAGTGGAAAAGGATGATTTTCGTGGGAAAAAGGATAATTTTTGGGGAAAAAGGAGGATTTTGGGTGGAAAAAGGGGGATTTTGGGTAGAAAAAGGGGGATATTCGTGGGAAAAAGGATAATTTTAGGTGGAAAAAGGGGGATTTTGGGTGGAAAAAGGGGATTTTGGGTGGAAAAAGGGGGATTTTGGGTGGAAAAAGGGGGATTTTGGGTGGAAAAAGGGGGATTTTGGCTGGAAAAAGGGAATTTTGGGTGGAAAAAGGGGATTTTGGGTGGAAAAAGGGGGATTTTGGGTGGAAAAAGGGGGATTTTGGGTGGAAAAAGGGGGATTTTGGGTGGAAAAAGGGGGATTTTGGGTGGAAAAAGGGGGATTTTGGGTGGAAAAAGGGGGATTTTGGGTGGAAAAAGGGGGATTTTGGCTCACTTGCACTCGGCCTCGGCGTCCGCCTTGGCTGTGGTGTAAAGGCCCCGCAGCTTGGTCCGGTAATAGGGGGAAACTGGGGAGAAAAAGGGGGATTTTGGGTCATTTTGGGCTAAATTGGCTGAGTTTGGCCTATTTGGGGTCATTATGGGATGGTTTGGGTCTTTTTGGGGGGGGGTTTTAGGGGGGTTCAAGTGGGGCTTGGGGGGGGATGGGTTTTGGGGGGGTTTGAGGTGCTTTATTGGGGGGATTTAAGGGGAATTTGGGGCATTTTGGGTCATTTTAAGGTGGTTTTGGGGGTTTAAGGGGGTTTCAGGTCCATTTTGGGCTGATTTAAGGTGAATTTAGGGCATTTTGGGTCATTTTAAGGTGGTTTTGGGGGTTTAAGGGGGTTTCAGGTCCATTTTGGGCTGATTTAAGGTGAATTTAGGGCGTTTTGGGTCATTTTAAGGTGGTTTTGGGGGTTTAAGGGGGTTTTGGGGTCATTTTGGGCTGATTTAAGGTGAATTTGGGGCGTTTTGGGTCATTTTAAGGTGGTTTTGGGGGTTTAAGGGGGTTTCAGGTCCATTTTGGGGTGCTTTAGGGTGAATTTAGGGCATTTTGGGTCATTTTAAGGTGGTTTTGGGGGTTTAAGGGGGTTTCAGGTCCATTTTGGGGTGGTTTAAGGTGAATTTAGGGTGTTTTGGGTCATTTTAGGTTGGTTTTGGGGTCATTTTGGGGTGGTTTAAGGTGAATTTAGGGCATTTTGGGTCATTTTAAGGTGGTTTTGGGGGTTTAAGGCGGTTTCAGGTCCATTTTGGGCTGATTTAAGGTGAATTTAGGGCGTTTTGGGTCGTTTTAAGGCGGTTTTGGGGTCATTTTGGGGTGGTTTAAGGTTCAATTTGAGGCGGTTTAAGGCGAATTTAGGGCGTTTTGGGTCGTTTTAAGGCGTTTTGGGTCATTTCAAGGTGGTTTTCAGCTCTTTCCGAGGCGTTTTAAGGCGTTTTGATGTCGTTTTAGGGCGCTTTGGGTCATTTTAGGGTGTTTTTTTGCCCATTTCGAGCCGTTTTCAAGCGACTTCAAGGCTTTTTTTTTGTCCGTTTCAAGGCGTTTTTGGGGGTCCCCCCCATCCCTTACCCCCCCCCCCCCCACCATTCGCTCCCCCTCACTTTTATTCTCCGTCTGCATCCTCTCGTGGGTCTTCTGGATGTTGAGCAAGTTGTGCTCGCTGCGGGAGCGCTCCTCCTGCGGCCATAAGGGGATAAAGACACACAGGGGGATTGGGGGGGGGGAAGGGGGAAAACGCCCCAAAAACGCCCCAAAAACGGGCAAAAACGCCCCAAAAACGGGCAAAAACGCCCAAAATCGCTTCACTACCTGCGTCTGCTTGATGAGCTGGTGCAGCTCCCCCAAGAGCTCCGCGATGCGGGAGTCGGCCGAGACCAGCGCCATTGAAATCAATGGGGCCAAGATGGCGGCGGCGCTGAGGTAAAGGGAGGGGGGGGGGCAAGATGGCGGCGGCGGCTTCGTCCTCCTCGCCTATAGTCCCGCCCACGGCGCGCTGCTATTGGTTGGTGGAGGGGGGGTCTGGGATGTGATTGGTTGGGAGGGAGGGAGGGTGGGGATTGGGTGGTGGAAGGGGAAGAGGCGGGGATTGAGGGGTCAGGTGGGGAGGGGGAGTGGGGTCATGTGATCCGGCAGCGATGGCGGACGGGGAGGAGGAGGAGGAAGCGCTGCTGCCGCCGGGTCAGGAGCGGGGCCTGACCCATAGCGGGACCCATAGAGACCCATAGGGACCCATAGAGACCCCATAGGGACCCATAGAGACCCATAGGGACCCATAGAGACCCACAGGGACCCATAGGGACCCATAGAGACCCCATAGGGACCCATAGGGACCCATAGGGACCCATAGAGACCCACAGGGACCCATAGGGACCCATAGAGACCCCATAGGGACCCATAGAGACCCACAGGGACCCATAGGGACCCATAGAGACCCACAGGGACCCATAGAGACCCATAGGGACTCCATAGAGACCCATAGGGACCCCATAGGGACCCATAGAGACCCACAGGGACCCATAGAGACCCATAGGGACTCCATAGAGACCCATAGAGACCCATAGGGACTCCATAGAGACCCCATAGGGACCCATAGAGACCCATAGGGACTCCATAGAGACCCATAGGGACCCATAGAGACCCACAGGGACCCATAGAGACCCATAGGGACTCCATAGAGACCCCATAGGGACCCATAGAGCCCCATAGGGACCCATAGATACCCCATAGAGACCCATAGGGACCCATAGAGACACATAGGGACCCCATAGGAATACATAGAGACCTATAGACACCCCATAGAAACCCCATAGGGAATTATAGAGACCCATAGGTACCCCATAGAGACCCCATAGAGCTCTATAGGGACCCATAGATACCCCATAGAAACCCCATAGGGACCCAAAGAAACCCATAGGGACCCATAGACACCCCATAGAAACCCCATAGGGACCCATAAGCAGCCCCATTTCTCCCCCCTCTCCCCACAGCGGAGCCCCCCCGGACCCCCCAAGCACCCCATGGAGGAACGCAGCCGCCTTCTGGTGAGGAGCCTGCCCCATAGATACTGCCCCATAGACCCCAGCCCCATTGATCCAGCCCCATAGATACCTGCCCCATAGATACTGCCCCATAGACCCCAGCCCCATTGATCCAGCCCCATAGATACTGCCCCATAGATACTGCCCCATAGACCCCAGCCCCATTGATCCAGCCCCATAGATACCTGCCCCATAGATACTGCCCCATAGACCCCAGCCCCATTGATCCAGCCCCATAGATACCTGCCCCATAGACCCCAGCCCCATTGATCCAGCCCCATAGATACCTGCCCCATAGATACCTTGCCTCATAGACCCCAGCCCCATTGATCCAGCCCCAATGATCCAGCCCCATTGATACCTGCCCCATAGACCCCAGCCCCATTGATCCAGCCCCATTGATACCTGCCCTATAGACCCCAGCCCCATTGATACCTGCCCCATAGATACCTGCCCCATAGACCCCAGCCCCATTGATCCAGCCCCATTGATACCTGCCCCATAGACCCCAGCCCCATTGATCCAGCCCCATAGATACTGCCCCATAGACCCCAGCCCCCATTGATCCAGCCCCATAGATACGGCCCCATAGACCCCAGCCCCATTGATCCAGCCCCATTGATACCTGCCCCATAGATGTCAGCTCCATTGATCCAGCCCCATAGATACTGCCCCCATAGACCCCAGCCCCATTGATCCAGCCCATAGATACCTGCCCCATAGATACTGCCCCATAGACCCCAGCCCCATTGATCCAGCCCCATAGATACCTGCCCCATAGATACTGCCCATAGACCCCAGCCCCATTGATCCAGCCCCATTGATACCTGCCCCATAGATACTGCCCCATAGACCCCAGCCCCATTGATCCAGCCCCATAGATACTGCCCCATAGACCCCAGCCCCATTGATACCTGCCCCATAGACCCCAGCCCCATTGATCCAGCCCCATTGATACCTGCCCCATAGACCCCAGCCCCATTGATCCAGCCCCATTGATACCTGCCCCATAGACCCCAGCCCCATTGATACCTGCCCCATGGATACCTGCCCCATAGACCCCAGCCCCATTGATCCAGCCCCATAGATACCTGCCCCATAGACCCCAGCCCCATTGATCCAGGCCCATAGATACCTGCCCCATAGACCCCAGCCCCATTGATCCAGCCCCATTGATACCTGCCCCATAGACCCCAGCCCCATTGATCCAGCCCCATAGATACTGCCCCATAGACCCCAGCCCATTGATCCAGCCCCATTGATACCTGCCCCATAGATACCTGCCCCATAGACCCCATCCCCATTGATCCAGCCCATAGATACCTGCCCCATTGATCCAGCCCCATTGATACCTGCCCCATAGATACTGCCCCATAGACCCCAGCCCCATTGATCCAGCCCCATTGATACCTGCCCATAGACCCCAGCCCCATTGATCCAGCCCCATTGATATGTACCCCATAGACCCCACCCCATTGATCCAGCCCCATAGATACTGCCTCATAGACCCCAGCCCCATTGATCCAGCCCCATAGATACTGCCCCATAGACCCCAGCCCCATAGATACCTGCCCATAGACCCCAGCCCCATTGATCCAGCCCCATAGATACTGCCCCATAGACCCCAGCCCCATAGATACCTGCCCCATAGACCCCAGCCCCATTGATCCAGCCCCATTGATACCTGCCCCATAGACCCCAGCCCCATTGATCCAGCCCCATTGATACTGCCCCCATAGACGTCAGCTCCATTGATCCAGCCCCATTGATACCTGCCCCATAGACCCCAGCCCCATTGATCCAGCCCATAGATACTGCCCCATAGACCCCAGCCCCATTGATACCTGCCCCATAGACCCCAGCCCCATTGATCCAGCCCCATAGATACCTGCCCCATAGACCCCAGCCCCATTGATCCAGCCCCATTGATACCTGCCCCATAGACGTCAGCTCCATTGATCCAGCCCCATAGATACTGCCCCATAGACCCCCAGCCCCATTGATCCAGCCCCATTGATACGTACCCCATAGACCCCAGCCCCATTGATCCAGCCCCATAGATACTGCCCCATAGACCCCAGCCCCATTGATCCAGCCCCATAGATACTGCCCCATAGACCCCAGCCCCATAGATACTGCCCCATAGACCCCAGCCCCATTGATCCAGCCCCATAGATACCTGCCCCATAGACCTCAGCCCCATTGATCCAGCCCCATTGATACCTGCCCTATAGACGTCAGCTCCATTGATCCAGCCCCATAGATACTGCCCCATAGACCCCAGCCCCATTGATCCAGCCCATTGATACCTGCCCCATAGACCCCAGCTCCATTGATCCTGCCCCATAGATCCTGCCCCATAGACCTCACCCCATAGATTCCACCCCATAGATCCAGCCCTATATATCCTGCCCCATAGATCCCACCCCATCCATTCCAGCCCCATAGATCCCAGCCCCATAGCTCCAGCCCCATAGATCTCGCCCCACAGACCCCACCCCATAGATCCCGCCCCATAGACCCCACCCCATAGATGCCACCCCATAGCCCCCACCCCATAGCTCCCGCCCCATAGACCCCACCTCATAGATTCTGCCCCATAGACTCCATCCCGCAGATCCCTGCCCCATAACTCCCACCCCATAGATCCCTGCCCCACAGATCCTGCCCCATACCTCCAGCCCCATAGACCCCACCCCATGGACCCCACCCCATAGCCCCCCCCCCCATAGACCCCACCCCATAGCTCCCGCCCCATAGCTCCCTCCCATAGCCCCCACCCCATAGCTCCCGCCCCATAGCCCCCGCCCCATAGATCTCATCCCATAGCCTCCACCCCATAGACCCCTGCCCCATAGCCCCGCCCCATAGCTCCTGCCCCATAGCTCCCTCCCCGTAGCCCCACCCCATAGCTCCCTCCCCATAGCCCCCACCCCATAGCTCCTGCCCCATAGCTCCTGCCCCATAGCTCCCTGCCCCCCAGGATCCTGGGGCTCTGTAACAACCTCCCCTATGTGCTGATGCTGAGCGCGGCGCGGGACATCGTGGAGCTCCAGCAGGGGGCGCCGGTGAGGCCACGCCCCCTGCCCCACATCCTGCCCCATAGCGCCCCATAAGCTGCCCTATAACACCCCATAACCTGCCCCATAGCACCCCACATCCTGCCCCATAGCGCCCCATAACCTGCCCCATTGCGCCCCATAAGCTGCCCTATAACACCCCATAACCTGCCCCATAGCACCCCACATCCTGCCCCATAGCGCCCATAAGCTGCCCTATAACACCCCATAACCTGCCCCATAGCGCCCCACATCCTGCCCCATAGCGCCCCACATCCTGCCCCATAGCGCCCATAACCTGCCCCATAGCGCCCCATAAGCTGCCCTATAACACCCCATAACCTGCCCCATAGCACCCCACATCCTGCCCCATAGCGCCCCATAAGCTGCCCTATAACACACCATAACCTGCCCCATAGCGCCCCATAACCTGCCCCATAGCACCCCACATCCTGCCCCATAGCGCCCCATAAGCTGCCCTATAACACCCCATAACCTGCCCCATAGCGCCCCACATCCTGCCCCATAGCGCCCCATAACCTGCCCTATAACACCCATAACGTGCCCGATACTGCCCCATAACCTGCCCATAGCGCCCCACATCCTGCCCCATAGCACCCCATAACCTTTATTATAGCACCCCCACATCCTGCCCCATAGTGTCCCATAACCTTTATTATAGCACCCCGTCACCTGCCCCATAGCGCCCCACATCCTGCCCCATAGCGCTCTATAGCCTGCCCTATAGCAGACCGTGATGTGCCTCATAGCGCCCCATGACCTGGCCCATAGCACACTGTAATGTGCCCCATAGCGCCTGATGACTTGCCCCATAGCACACCATAATATCCCCCGTATTGCCCCATAACCTGCCCTATATTGCCCCATAACCTGCCCCGTATTGCTCCGTAGCCTGCCCCATAGCACCACATAACCTGCCCTATAGAGCCCATAACCTTCCCCATAGCACCTCATAGCCTACCCCATAGCACCCCATAACCTGCCCCGTATCACCCCATAGCGTGCCTCTTATTGCCCTATAACTCGCCCCTAGCACCCCATAACCTGCCCCACAGTGCCCCATAACCTTCCTTATAGCACCCCATAACCTGCCCCATATCAGCCCATAGCCTGCCCCTTACTGCCCTATAACTTGCCCCATAGCGCCCCATGACCTGCCCCCTAACCTGCCCCCACATCTCCCCATAGGTGCCCCATAGCAAACAGCTCTCGCTATGACTGCAACCAGCTCTCGACTGGGGTAAGGGGCGGGGCCAATGTGGGGGTTCTATGGGGCTGCCCCATAAGTGGGTTGGAGGGGGGATGTGGGGCTGAGGGCACTCTATGGGGCTGGGCCCATATCTATGGGTCCCCTTCACCTGTGTGTGTGCCCCACATCTGTGGGTCAGCCCCACATGTATGGGTCGCACCCCACACTTACGGGTTCCCCCCTATCCCATATCCATGCCCCATATTTATGGGTCAACCCCCCCCCATCTATGGGGCTGGCCCCATATCTATGGGTCCCCCTAAACCACATCTATGGGTCTCTCTAACCTGTGCCTCTGCCCCACATCTATGGGGCTGGGCCCATGTCTATAGGTCTTCCTAAGCAATCTCCCTGCCCCACATCTATGGGTCCCCTTCATCTGCGCGTGTGCCCCACATCTATGGGTCAGCCCCACATCTATGGGGCCCCATTGATCTCTATGGGTCCCATTGATCTCTATGGGTCCCATTGATCTCTATGGGTCCCATTGTTCTCTATGGGTCCCATTGATCTCTATGGGTCCCATTGTTCTCTATGGGTCCCCATTGATCTCTATGGGTCCCATTGTTCTCTATGGGTCCCATTGATCCCCTATGGGTCCCATTGATCTCTATGGGTCCCATTGATCTCTATGGGTCCCCATTGTTCTCTATGGGTCCCATTGATCTCTATGGGTCCCCATTGTTCTCTATGGGTCCCCATTGATCTCTATGGGTCCCCATTGATCTCTATGGGTCCCATTGATCTCTATGGGTCCCATTGATCTCTATGGGTCCCCATTGTTCTCTATGGGTCCCATTGATCTCTATGGGTCCCCATTGATCTCTATGGGTCCCCATTGATCCCTATGGGTCCCCATTGATCTCTATGGGTCCCTGCCCCACACATGTGGGGCGCAGGCCGTGCTCCTCGCCGACGTCCTCCCCTCGCTGCTCATGAAGCTCCTGGCGCCGCTCGCACCCCATTGGCTGAGCTACGAGTAGGGGCGGGGCCTAAAGGGGGGCGGAGCTTGAGTAGGACTTGGGGGCTCTGGGTCTATGGGGTGGGTTATGGGTTCTGCTATGGGGCTGGCTATGGGGCAGGTTATAGGGCTATGGGGGGGGCTATAGGGTGGGTTATGGGGCTATGGACTCTGCTATGGGGCAGGTTATGGGGCTATGGGGGGGCTATGGGGAGGCTATGGGGCGGGTTATGGGGCTATGGGGCGGGTTATGGGGCTATGGGGTGGGCTATGGGGTGGGTTATGGGTTCTGCTATGGGGCAGGTTATGGGGGCTATGGGGGGGGCTATAGGGTGGGTTATGGGGCTATGGGCTCTGCTATGGGGCAGGTTATGGGGCTATGGGGCTGGCTATGGGGTGGGTTATGGGGCTATGGGGCTGGCTATGGGGTGGGTTATGGGTTCTGCTATGGGGCAGGTTATGGGGCTATGGGCCTGGCTATGGGGTGGGTTATGGGGCTATGGGGGAGGCTATGGGGTGGGTTATGGGGCTATGGGGGGGGCTATGGGGTGGGTTATGGGTTCTGCTATGGGGCAGGTTATGGGGCTATGGGGCTGGCTATGGGGTGGGTTATGGGGCTATGGGGGGGGGCTATGGGGTGGGTTATGGGTTCTGCTATGGGGCTGGCTATGGGGCAGGTTATGGGTCTATGGGGTTGGTTATGGGGCTGCTTATGGGTCTCTATGGGGCTTATTGGGAGGGGCGTCTTGCGCCCCATGACGTCACGTGATGGGCGGGGCCCGTGGGTGTGCCGGGAGAGGGAGGGGGCGTGGCTTAGTCCTGACCCCGCCCCCCCCATTGCAGGGCCCGGGTGGGCGGGGCCGCGCTCCTGGCGTGGGCGGGGTCAGCGCTGGTGCTGACAGCGAAGGGAGCGGAGCAGGGATTGGCTGGTGAGGGGGGGGGGTGGGGTCCACGTGGGGGGGGGGGTGTGTCACATGTGGGGGGTGTTGGGGTCATGTTGGGGGGTCACGTGGGGGGTGTCACGTGGGGGGTGTCACGTGGGGGGTGTGTGTCACGTGGGGGGTCACGTGTGGGGGTGTCACGTTGGGGGGTCGGGTGGGGGGTGTCACGTGGGGGGGTGGGTGTCACATGGGGGGTGTGTAACATGTGGGGGGTGTGTGTCACGTGGGGGTTCACGTTGGGGGGGTCACGTGGGAGGGGTGGGGGGGTGTCACGTGGGGGGGTGTCACGTGGGGGGGTGTGTCACACGTAGGGGGGTGTGTGTCACGTGGGGGGGGTGTCACGTGGGGGGGTGTGTGTCACGTGGGGGGGTGTGTGTCACGTGGGGGGGTGTGTGTCACGTGGGGGGGTCACGTGGGGGGGTGGGTGTCACATGGGGGGTGTGTAACGAGGGGGGTGTGTGTCACGTGGGGGTTCACGTTGGGGGGGTCACATGGGAGGGGTGGGGGGGTGTCACGTGGGGGGTGTCACGTAGGGGGGTGTGTCACATGTAGGGGGGTGTGTGTCACGTGGGGGGGTCACGTGGGGGGGGTCACGTGGGAGGGGTGTCACGTGTTGGGGGTTCACGGTGGGGGGCTGGGGTCACGTGGAGGGCGGGTTGTGTCACGTTGGGGGGTGTCACGTTGGGGGGTCACGTGGGGGTGGTGTGTGTCACGTGTTGGGGGGTGGGGGGTGGGGTCACGTGGGGGGCAGGGTCACGTGGGGGGGTTCGCGTGTGTGGGGAGGTGTGTGTCACATGGGGGTCACGGGGGGGTGAGGTCACGTAGGGGAGGGTGTGGGTCACAGGGGGGTGTGGGGGTGTCACGTGGGGGGAGTCACGTGGGGGCGTGGGTCATGGGGGAGGTCATGTGGAGGTGGGGGTCACATGGGGGTGTGGGGGCAGGGGTCAAGTGTGGTGTCCCATGGGGTCACGTATGGGGCTGGAGTCACATGGGGGGTTGGGGTCACATGGGGTCACGTGGAGGTCAGGGGTCACTTTGGGTCACGTGTGGGGCATGGGTCACTTGAGGTCACCTAGGGGGCAGGGGTCACATGGCTTGGGGTCACATAGGGGCAGGGGTCACTTGAGGTCACGTGTGGGGCAGGGGTCACACAAATTGGGGTCATGTGTGGGGCAGGGGTCACTTTGGGTCACGTGTGGGGCAGGGGTCACATGGGGGCTTGGGGTCACGTGGAGGACAGGGGTCACACAGCTTGGGGTCACGTGTGGGGCAGGGGTCAAGTGGGGTCACGTGTGGGGCAGGGGTCACTTTGGGTCACATGGGGGGCAGGGGCCACATAAGGGGGAGGGGTCATGTGTGGGGCAGGGGTCACATGAGATCACATGGGGGCAGGGGTCACACAGGGGCTTGGGGTCACGTGGGAGGGGCTGGGGTCACGTGGTGGGGGGGGAGGGGCTGGGGTCACGTGGTGATGGCTGGGAGGGGCTGGGGTCCCATGACCCCGCCCCCCCCCCCCCCCCCCCCTCTTTGCAGCCGTCTCATTGGCCAGCGCCGCCTCGGGGCTGGGGGAGGTGACGCTGGTGACCTTGGCTTCCGCCTACCCCACGTGAGGAGGGGCGGGGTCACGTGACCCCCCCGGGGGGAGGGCGGGGCTAAGGGAGGGGGCGGGGTAGAATGGGAGTCTATGGGGCAGGGGAGGGGCTGGGGGGGGGTTGGTTGTGGGGGCTCTGTGGGGTGGCTATGGGGTCTCTATGGGTCCCTATGGGGTCTCTATGGGGTGGCTATGGGTCCCTATGGGGTAGCTGTGGGTTTCTATGGGTCTCTATTGGTCCCTATGGGGTCTCTATGGGGTGGCTATGGGTTTCTATGGGTCTCTATGGGCTTCTGTCCCTGTGGGTCTCTATGGGGTGTCTATGGGGTCTCTATGGGTCTCTATGGTTCCCTATGGCGTCTCTATGGGTCCCTGTGTTTCTCTATGGGTCCCTTTGGGTCCCTTTGGGTCTCTCTATGGGTTGCTATGGGTCTCTATGGGGTCTCTATGGGTCCCTATGGGTCTCTATGGGGTCTCTATGGGTCCCTATGGGTCCCTATGGGTCTCTATGTGTCTCTATGGGGTCTCTATGGGTCCCTATGTGTCCCTATGGGTCTCTATGGGTCCCTATGGGTCTCTATGTGTCTCTATGGGGTCTCTATGGGTCCCTATGGGTCCCTATGGGTCCCTATGGGGTCTCTATGGGTCCCTATGTGTCCCTATGTGTCCCTATGGGTCCCTATGTGTCTCTATGTGTCTCTATGGGGTCTCTATGGGTCCCTATGGGTCCCTATGGGTCCCTATGGGTCTCTATGGGGTCTCTATGGGTCCCTATGGGTCCCTATGGGTCCCTATGGGGTCTCTATGGGTCCCTATGTGTCTCTATGTGTCTCTATGGGTCCCTATGTGTCTCTATGGGGTCCCTATGGGTCCCTATGGGTCCCTATGGGGTCTCTATGTGTCTCTATGGGGTCCCTATGGGTCTCTATGGGTCCCTATGGGTCTCTATGGGTCCCTATGGGTCTCATGTATGGGGTCCCTATGGGTCCCCATCACTGACCCTTCCCCCCCCAGGGCCGCTCTATGGGGCTGGGCCTCGGGCACGGGCGCCGCGGGGCTCTGGGGGTCGCTGTGGGGCGGGGGCGGGGCTGGGGGCGGGGCTTGGCCTCTCCCGGGCCCTGCTGCCCGCGGCCGCGCTGCCAATGGGGACGGCGCTGAGGTGAGGGGGTGGGGCCAAGGGGGCGGGGCCAAGGGGGCGGGGCCAATGGGGGGGGGCGGGACCAATGGTGGTGGGGTCAATGGGGGAGAGGGGGCGGGGCTTAGGAGGAGGGGGCGGGGCCAATGGGGGGGAGAGGGGGGTGGGGCTTTGGGGATGGGAATGGCCAAGAGGGGTGGGGCCAATGGGGTGAGAGGAGGCGGGGCCAAGGGGGCGGGGCTTGGGGGGGAGAGGGGGTGGTGCTGAGGGGGGCGGAGTCAATGGGGGAGGGGGGCGGGGCTTGGGGCAATGGGGGGCGGGGCTTGGGGGGTGGCCAATAGGGGGCGGGGCCAATGGGGGGGCGGGGCTAAGGTGGATGGGGCGGGGTCAATGGGGGGAGATGGGGGTGGGGCTTTGGGGATGGGAATGGCCAAGAGGGGGTGGGGCTTGGGGGGGGGGGGCAAAGGGGGGAGGGGGCGGGGCCAATGGGGTGAGAGGGGGCGGAGCTTAGGGGGGGAGGGGGCGGGGCTTTGGGGGTGGGAATGGCCAAGAGGGGGCGGGGCTTGGGGGGGGGCGCAAGGGGGAGGGGCCAAGGGGTACAGAGGGGGGCGGGGCCAACGGGAGAGAGGGGGCGGGGCTTTGCGGTGGGAATGGCCAAAAGGGGGCGGGGCTTGGGGTCAATGGGGGGCGGGGTCAATGGGGGGGGAGGGGGTGGGGCTTGGGGGGGCAATGGGGGTGAAGGGGGCGGGGCTTGTGGCGTGGCCAATGGGGTGAGGGGAGGGGGCTTGGAGGGAGTGGGTGGGGCTTGGGGGCAGGGGTGTTTCTATGGGGCTCTATGGGGATCTATGGGTCCCTATGGGGTCCCTATGGGGTCTCTATGGGGATCTATGGGGCTCTATGGGTCCCTATGGGGTCCCTATGGGGCTCTATGGGGTCTCTATGGGGATCTATGGGGTCTCTATGGGTCTCCATGGGGTCTCTATGGGGATCTATGGGGATCTATGGGGTCCCTATGGGGCTCTATGGGTCCCTATGGGGCAGAGCCCCATAGCCCCTCCCCCCCATCTCCCCCCAGCTTCTTCTTCCTCCTCCTCCCCCCCCCTCCCCCCCCCCGCCCCACGGAGCCGCCCCCCCCCACCGCGGGGGTCACGTGGGGGGAGCGCTGGGGCGTGGTCAAGGTGAGGGGGCGGGGCTTAAACGGGGGGGGGCGGGGCTTCAAAGGGGAGGCCTCGGCCTCTGATTGGCTCCCGGTCCCTCAGGGCGCGCTGCCGGATGCGTTCCCATTGGCTGTCGTTTACTTGGCGGAGTACTTCATTAACCAGGGGGTGGTGAGTGGGGGGGGCTATGGGGCAGCTGTGGGGCAGCTATGGGGCAGCTATGGGGTAGCTATGGGGTAGGTATGGGGCAGCTATGGGGCAGCTATGGGGTAGGTATGGGGCAGCTATGGGGTAGCTATGGGGTAGCTATGGGGCAGCTATGGGGTAGGTATGGGGCAGCTATGGGGCAGCTATGGGGTAGCTATGGGGTAGGTATGGGGTAGCTATGGGGCAGCTATGGGGTAGGTATGGGGTAGGTATGGGGTAGCTATGGGCACCATTGGGGTAGCTATGGGGTAGGTAGGGGGCAGCTATGGGGCAGCTATGGGGTAGCTATGGGGCAGCTATGGGGTAGGTATGGGGCAGCTATGGGGTAGCTATGGGGTAGGTATGGGGTAGCTATGGGGCAGCTATGGGGTAGGTATGGGGTAGGTATGGGGTAGCTATGGGGTAGGTATGGGGTAGCTATGGGGTAGCTATGGGGCAGCTATGGGGTAGGTATGGGGTAGGTATGGGGCAGCTATGGGGTAGCTATGGGGCAGCTATGGGGTAGCTATGGGGTAGCTATGGGGCAGCTATGGGGTAGCTATGGGGCAGCTATGGGGTAGGTATGGGGTAGCTATGGGGTAGGTATGGGGCAGCTATGGGGTAGCTGTGGGGCAGCTATGGGGCAGGTATGGGGTAGCTATGGGGTAGCTGTGGGGCAGCTATGGGGCAGCTGTGGGGCAGCTATGGGGTAGCTATGGGGCAGCTATGGGGCAGCTATGGGAAGTATGGGGGTCTATGAGGTGCTATGGGGCAGCTATGGGGTAGCTATGGGGCAGCTATGGGGTATCTATGGGGTAGCTATGGGGCAGCTATGGGGCAGCTATGGGGTAGCTATGGGGCAGCTATGGGGAGTATGGGGGTCTATGAGGTGCTATGGGGCAGTTATGGGGGAGCTATGGGGTAGCTAGGGGGCAGCTAGGGGGCAGCTATGGGGTAGCTATGGGGTAGCTATGGGGCAGCTATGGGGTAGCTATGGGGCAGGTATGGGGCAGCTGTGGGGCAGCTATGGGGCAGCTATGGGGTAGGTAGGGGGCAGCTATGGGGCAGCTATGGGGTAGGTATGGGGCAGGTATGGGGCAGCTATGGGGTAGCTATGGGGTAGCTATGGGGTAGCTGTGGGGTAGCTATGGGGTAGCTATGGGGTAGCTATGGGGTAGGTATGGGGTAGCTATGGGGTAGGTATGGGGTAGCTATGGGGCAGCTATGGGGTAGCTATGGGGTAGCTATGGGGTAGCTATGGGGCAGCTATGGGGAGTATGGGGGTCTATGAGGTGCTATGGGGCAGCTATGGGGTAGCTATGGGGCAGCTATGGGGTATCTATGGGGTAGCTATGGGGCAGCTATGGGGCAGCTGTGGGGTAGCTATGGGGCAGCTATGGGGAGTACGGGGGTCTATGAGGTGCTATGGGGCAGTTATGGGGCAGCTATGGGGCAGCTATGGGGTAGCTATGGGGCAGCTATGGGGCAGCTATGGGGCAGCTATGGGGTAGCTATGGGGCAGCTATGGGGCAGCTATGGGGTAGCTATGGGGCAGCTATGGGGCAGCTATAGGGTAGCTATGGGGCAGCTATGGGGCAGCTATGGAGTAGCTATGGGGTAGCTATGGGGCAGCTATGGTGTAGGTATGGGGAGTACAGGGGTCTATGAGGTGCTATGGGGCAGCTATGGGGGAGCTATGGGGCAGGGGGGAGTATGGGCGTCTGTGAGGTTCTATGGGGCAGCTATGGGGCTGTGTGGGGCAATGGGTCAGCTATGGGGCAGGTGGGCTATGGGGTACCTATGGGGCTGGAAGGCTATGGGGGCAGCTATGGGGTACCTATGGGGCAGGGATGTTATGGGGCAGCTATGGGGCAGTGGGCAGTACGGGGAAGGGGGGCTATGGGGTAACTATGGGGCTGAAGGGCTATGGGGCAGCTATGGGGCTGGGGTTGCTATGGGGCACCTATAGGGCAGCTGTGGGCTGGGCAGCTATGGGGCAGGGGCCGGTTCTATGGGGCTGGTGCCATAGGGCTGGCATCAGCGCTATAGGGTGGGTTCTATGGGGCTCTAGAGGGCTCTGTTGGGTCTCTATGGGTCTCTATGGGGTCTCTGTGGGTCTCTATGGGTCTCTATGGGGTCTCTGTGGGTCTCTATAGGTCTCTATGGGTCGCGCTATGGGTCCAGCCCCACACATTGCTCTCCCCTCAGCTGGACCTCTTGTACTTCCCCACATCCTCCCTGACCCACAACGAGCAGTACCGGTGGTGAGCCCCATAGCGTGTGTGGGATCTATGGGTCTCTATGGGGTCCTATGGGTCACTATGGGGTTTCTATGGGGTCTCTATGGGTCTCTATGGGTCTCTATGGATCTTATGGGGTTCCTATGGGTCTCTATGGGGTTTCTATGGGGTCTCTGTGGGGTTTCTATGGGGTCTTTCTCTATGGTGTCCCTATGGGTCTCTGGGGGTCCCTATGGGTCTCTATGGGGTTTCTATGGGGTCTCTCTCTCTATGGGTCCCTATGGGTCTCTATGGGTCCCTATGGGTCTCTATGGGTCCCTATGGGTCTCTATGGGTCTCTATGGGGTCCCTATGGGTCTCTATGGGTCCCTATGGTGTCCCTATGGGTCCCTATGGGGTCTCTATGGGTCCCTATGGGTCTCTATGGGTCTCTATGGGTCTCTATGGGTCTCTATGGGTCTCTATGGGTCCCTATGGGTCTCTATGGGTCTCTATGGGTCTCTATGGGTCCCTATGGGTCTCTATGGGTCTCTATGGGGTCCCTATGGGGTCTCTATGGGTCTCTATGGGGTCTCTATGGGGTCCCTATGGGTCTCTATGGGGTCTCTATGGGTCTCTATGGTTCTCTATGGGTCCCTATGGGTCCCTATGGGGTCTCTATGGGTCTCTATGGGGGTCTCTATGGGTCCCTATGGGGTCTCTATGGGTCTCTATGGGGTCTCTATGGCGTCTCTATGGGGTCCCTATGGGTCCCTATGGGTCTCTGTGTCTCTCTATGGGGCTGCCCCACACCAGGGCCCAGCTCCTTTACCAGGTCGGGGTCTTCGCCTCCCGCTCCGGCTTCCGCTTCCTCCGCCTGCGCCAGATCTGGGGCCTGATGGGGCTGCAGGTGCGGACCCACACTTGGGGGGCAGCCCCATAAGTGCCCCCCCCCACCCCATAGAGCACCCCACAACCACTGCCCCATAACCCGCTTCTGACCCACACTTGGGGGGCAGCCCCATAAGTGCCCCCCCCACCCCATAGAGCACCCCACAACCGCTGCCCCATAACCTGCTTCTGACCCACACTTGGGGGGCAGCCCCATAAGTGCCCCCCCTCCACCCCATAGAGCACCCCACAACCGCTGCCCCATAACCCGCTCCTGACCCACACTTGGGGGGCAGCCCCATAAGTGCCCCCCCCCCACCCCATAGAGCACCCCACAACCACTGCCCCATAACCTGCTTCTGACCCACACTTGGGGGGCAGCCCCATAAGTGCCCCCCCCCCACCCCATAGAGCACCCCACAACCACTGCCCCATAACCCGCTCCTGACCCACACTTGGGGGGCAGCCCCATAAGTGCCCCCCCCCACCCCATAGAGCACCCCACAACCACTGCCCCATAACCTGCTTCTGACCCACACTTGGGGGGCAGCCCCATAAGTGCCCCCCCCCCACCCCATAGAGCACCCCACAACCACTGCCCCATAACCTGCTTCTGACCCACACTTGGGGGGCAGACCCATAAGTGCCTCCCTACCAGCCCCATAAATCACGCCTGACCCCTAAGTGACACTCCTAGACCCACATATGTGGGGCAGACCCATAGATCTTCACATAAGCACCCCATAACCCACTCCTGACCCACACTTGGGGGGCAGCCCCGTAAGTGCCCCCCCCACCCCATAGAGCACCCCACAACCACTGCCCCATAACCCGCTCCTGACCCACACTTGGGGGGCAGCCCCGTAAGTGCCTCCCTACCAGCCCCATAGATCACTCCTGACCCATAAGTGACACTCCTAGACCCACATATGTGGGGCAGACCCATAGATCTTCACATAAGCACCCCATAACCCACTCCTGACCCACACTTGGGGGGCAGCCCCATAAGTGCCCCCCCCACCCCATAGAGCACCCCACAACCACTGTCCCATAACGTACTGACCCACACTTAGGGGGCAGCCCCATAAGTGGCCCCCTCCCCCCCCCACCCCATAGAGCACCCCATAACCGCTGCCCCATAACCCGCTCCTGACCCACACTTGGGGGGCAGCCCATAAGTGCCTCCCTACCAGCCCCATAGATCACTTGTGACCCCTAAGTGACACTCCCAGACCCACGTATGTGGGGCAGACCCATAGATCTTCACATAAGCACCCCATAACCCACTCCTGACCCACACTTGGGGGGCAGCCCCATAAGTGCCCCCCTTCCCAGCCCCATAGATCACTCCTGACCCATAAGTGACACTCCTAGACCCACATCTGTGGGGCAGCCCCATAATTGTTCCATCCTATCCCAGTTATGCCCCCGTAGCTCCCTATTCCAGCCCCATAAGTGCCCCATAGAAGTGCCCCATAAGTGCCCTGTAGCCCCATAAGTGCCCCCAACCCCATAAGTTCCCCCATAACTCCCTATTCCAGCCCCATAAGTACCACCCCCACCCCACAAGTACTGCCCCAGCCCCATAAGTACCCCATAGCCCCATAAGTGCCCCCATAACCCTCTATTCCAGACCCATAAGTGCCCCATAGAAGTGCCCCATAGAAGAGCCCCATAAGTGCCACTCCCAGCCCCATAAGTGTCTCTCCAGCCCCATAAGTACGCCCCTAGCCCCACAAGTAACCCCATAACTCCCTATTCCAGACCCATAAGTGCCCCCATAGAAGTGCCCCATAAGTGCCCCCCCAGTCCCACAAGTACCCCCCTAACTCCCTAGTCCAGCCCCATAAGTGCCCCATAGTAGTGCCCCATAAGTACCACCCCGACCCCACAAGTACTGCCCCAGCCCCATAAGTACCCCATACCCCCATAAGTGCCCCCCATAACTCCCTATTCCAGCCCCATAAGTGCCCCATAGAAATGCCCTGTAAGTGCTACTCCCAGCCCCATAAGTGTCTCTCCAGCCCCATAAGTACCCCCCCTAGCCCCACAAGTAACCCCATAACCCCCTATTCCAGCCCCATAAGTGCCCCGTAGAAGTGCCCCATAAGTGCCCCCCAGCCCCACAAGTACCCCCATAACTCCCTATTCCAGCCCCATAAGTGCCCCATAGACGTGCCCCATAGAAGTGCCCCATAGAAGTGCCCCATAAGTGCCACTCCCAGCCCCATAAGTGTCTCTCCAGCCCCATAAGTGCCCCCATAACTCCCTATTCCAGCCCCATAAGTGCCCCATAGAAGTGCCCCATAGAAGTGCCCCATAAGTGCCCCATAAGTGCCCCATAGAAGTGCCCCATAGAAGTGACCCATAAGTGCCCCATAGAAGTGCCCCATAGTAGTGCCCCATAGTAGTGCCCCATAGAAGTGCCCCATAAGTGCCCCATAAGTGCCCCATAAGTGCCCCATAGAAGTGCCCCATAAGTGCCCCATAGAAGTGCCCCATAGAAGTGCCCCATAAGTGCCCCATAGAAGTGCCCCATAAGTGCCCCATAGAAGTGCCCCATAGAAGTGCCCCATAAGTGCCCCATAAGTGCCCCATAAGTGCCCCATAGAAGTGCCCCATAAGTGCCCCATAGAAGTGCCCCATAGAAGTGCCCCATAGAAGTGCCCCATAAGTGCCCCATAGAAGTGCCCCATAGAAGTGCCCCATAAGTGCCCCATAGAAGTGCCCCATAAGTGCCCCATAGAAGTGCCCCATAGAAGTGCCCCATAAGTGCCCCATAGAAGTGCCCCATAAGTGCCCCATAGAAGTGCCCCATAAGTGCCCCATAAGTGCCCCATAGAAGTGCCCCATAAGTGCCCCATAGACGTGCCCCATAAGTACCCCATAGCCCCATAAGTGCCCCCCATAACCCCCTTGTTCCAGCCCCATAGGCCCCTATGAGGCCCCCCCCCCCCCCCCACCTGACCCAAGCCCCGCCCCCCCAGGTGCTGAACGCCGCTCTCCTATTGGCTGCCGTCCTGGCGCCCTTCCTGCCCGCGGTGGGCGTGGCCTTCGCCCTCGTGCTGTGGGAGGGGCTTGTGGGGGGCGCGGCCTACGGGGGCGCCTTCCTATTGGTGGGGCAGCGGGTGAGGGGGCGGGGCCTGTGCGGGCCAATGGGGGCGAAGGGGGAGGGGGTAAAAGGGGGGGAGGGGGTCGATGGGGGCGGGGCTTAAAGGGGCCAATGGGGGCCAATAAGGGCGGGGGGGGGGGGGCGTGGCTTGGGGGTCAATGGGGACCAATGGGAGCTTGGGGGCGGGGCTTAAGGGGAGCAGGGGTCAATGGGGACCAATGGGAGATGGAGGGAGGGGCGTGGCTTGGGGAAGGGGCGGGGTCAATGGGGACCAATGGGAGCAAGGGGGGCGGGGCTTAAGGGGGAAGGGTGGGGTCAATGGGGGCGTGGCTTGGGGAAAGGGCGGGGTCAATGGGGACCAATGGGGGCGGGGGGGGGCGGGGCTTAAAGGGGGAAGGGGAAGAGGGGCCAATGGGGACCAATGGGAGATGGAGGGAGGGGCGTGGCTTGGGAAAGGGGTGGGGTCAATGGGGGCCAATGGGAGAAAGGGGGCGGGGCTTAAGGGGGGAGGGGGGTGGAGCCAATGGGGGTGGGGCTTGTTGAAGGGGTGGGGTCAATGGGGGCCAATGGGAGGGGGCGGGGCTTAAGGTGGGGAGGGGGGTGGAGCCAATGGGGACCGATGAGGGGCGGGGCTTAAGGGGGGAGGAGTCAATGGGGATAAATGGGGGCGGGGCTTGGGGAAAGGGGCGGGGTCAATGAGGACCAATGGGAGCTTGAGGGTGGGGTTTAAAGGGGAAAGGGCGGGGTCAATCGGGGCCAATGGGAGTGGGGGGGCGGGGTTTAAGGGGGGGGAAGGAAACAGGGGCCAATGGGGGCCAATGGGGGGGCGGGGCTTGGGGTAGGGGCGGGGCCTTGGGAAATGGGAGGGGCCAAGGAGGGGCGGGGCAAGGGGCTCTGGGGTGGGGTTATAAGGGGGGGAGGGGGATGTGTGGGTCCCTATGGGGCTCTATGGGTCCCTATGGGGTTCCTATGGGTCCCTATGGGTCTCTATGGGTCCCTATGGGTGCCTGTGGGTCTCTATGGGGTCTCTATGGGTCCCTATGGGGCTCTATGGGGTCCCTATGGGGTCCCTATGGGTCTCTATGGGTCTCTATGGGGTCTCTATGGGTCCCTATGGGTCTCTATGGGTCTCTATGGGGTCCCTATGGGGTTCCTATGGGTCTCTATGGGTCCCTATGGGGTCTCTATGGGTCTCTATGGGGTCCCTATGGGGTTCCTATGGGTCTCTATGGGTCCCTATGGGGTCTCTATGGGTCTCTATGGGGTCCCTATGGGGTTCCTATGGGTCTTTATGGGTCCCTATGGGGTCTCTATGGGTCTCTATGGGGTCACTATGGGGTTCCTATGGGACTCTATGGGTCTCTATGGGTCCCTATGTGTCCCTATGGGTCTCTATGGGTCCCTATGGGGTCCCTATAGGGTCCCTATGGGTCTCTATGGGGTCTCTATGGGTCCCTATGGGTCTCTATGGGTCTCTATGGGGTCCCTATGGGGTCCCTATGGGGTCCCTATGGGTCTCTATGGGGTCTCTATGGGTCCCTATGGGTCTCTATGGGTCTCTATGGGGTCTCTATGGGTCCCTATGGGTCTCTATGGGGTCTCTATGGGTCCCTATGGGTCTCTATGGGTCCCTATGGGGTCCCTATGGGGTCCCTATGGGTCTCTATGGGGTCTCTATGGGTCCCTATGGGGTCGCTATGGGGTCCCTATGTGTCTCTATGGGTCTCTATGGGTGTCTATGGGTGTCTATGGGGTCTCTATGGGTCCCTATGGATCTCTATGGGTCTCTATGGGTGTCTATGGGGTCTCTATGGGTCCCTATGGATCTCTATGGGTCTCTATGGGGTCTCTATGGGTCCCTATGGGGTCTCTATGGGTCTCTATGGGTCCCTATGGGGTCCCTATGGGTCCCTATGGGTCTCTATGGGTCCCTATGGGTCCCTATGGGTCCCTATGGGGTCTCTATGGGTCTCTATGGGTCCCTATGGGGTCTCTATGGGTCTCCATGGGTCTCTATGTGTCTCTATGGGTCTCTATGGGGTCTCTATGGGTCTCTATGGGGTCCCTATGGGTCTCTATGGGTCCCTATGGGGTCTCTATGGGTCTCTATGGGGTCTCTATGGGTCTCTATGGGTCCCTATGGGGTCCCTATGGGTCTCTATGGGTCTCTATGGGTCCCTATGGGGTCCCTATGGGGTCTCTATGTGTCTCTATGGGTCCCTATGGGTCTCTATGGGTCCCTATGGGGTCTCTATGGTTCTCTATGGGTCTCTATGGGTCTCTATGGGTCTCTATGGGTCTCTATGGGTCTCTATGGGGTCTCTATGGGTCTCTATGTGTCTCTATGGGTCTCTATGGGTCTCTATGGGGTCTCTATGGGGTCTCTATGGGTCTCTATGGGTCTCTATGGGTCTCTATGGGTCTCTATGGGGTCTCTATGGGTCTCTATGTGTCTCTATGGGTCTCTATGGGTCTCTATGGGTCTCTATGGGTCTCTATGGGGTCTCTATGGGTCTCTATGTGTCTCTATGGGTCTCTATGGGTCTCTATGGGTCTCTATGGGGTCTCTATGGGGTCTCTATGGGTCTCTATGGTTCTCTATGGGTCTCTATGGTTCTCTATGGGTCCCTATGGGTCTCTATGGGGTCCCTATGGGTCCCTATGGGTCTCTATGGGGCTCCCTGACCTTGGGTGTCTCCCGCAGGCGCCCCCTGGGGGGCGTGGCCTGGCCGTGGCCGTGACGTCACTGGGGCAGTCGCTGGGCGTGGCCTTGGCCGGGGTCGCGGCCATGGGGCTGCACAAGGGGCTCTGTGCCCCATAGCGGGACCCATAGAGACCTCATAGGGACCCATAGAGACCCATAGAGACCCATAGAGACCCATAGAGACACATAGAGACCCATAGAGACCCATAGAGACACATAGAGACACATAGAGACCCATAGAGACCCATAGAGACACATAGAGACCCATAGAGACACATAGAGACACATAGAGACACATAGAGACCCATAGAGACCCATAGAGACACATAGAGACCCATAGAGACCCATAGAGACCCATAGAGACCCATAGAGACACATAGAGACCCATAGAGACCCCATAGAGACACATAGAGACCCATAGAGACACATAGAGACACATAGAGACACAA